GGGGGATGAGGACAATTACGTGATACCATAATCAATAAAAAATAAAAATTATTATATATATATATATATATATATATATATATATATATATATATATATATATGTTAGCCTGCTATATTTGGTCAATTAACTTACCCCTGATGCCTTGGCAGGGCCAGGCCAAATGATTTTATAGGCCCCCCCCCCCTTTTTTTATAGTCCTTATATGGCCCTCGGGCTGGACATTTCCTACCCCTGTTTTGTTTTTGTTTTTTAATTATTTTTTAAATACATATATTTTTTATTTCAGAGAGGAAGGGAGAGAATGAGAGAAACATCAATGATAAGAGAGAATCATCAATCAGCTGCCTCCTGTTTCTGCACATCCTGCAGCCCAGGCATGCGCCCTGACCCGGCATCGAACTGTGGCCTCCTGGTTCACAGTTTGATGTGTAGCCACGGAGCCACACTGGTCTGGCATTTCCCACCCCTGTGTTATAGATCATAATTCAAGGTGAGCTGTGTCTGGTCTCTCTGTGGGTGCCAGATCATGGAGAAAATGTATCTCTTTTGTTTTCACCAGGATTGTCATCTCAGAACATGGCCAGATACAAAACAGGACTGATGCTGAGGGAGGCAGTCTCCGGGGGTTGGAAGAAAAGGGCAGGTCTGGCCCTCTTTTACACGTGGAATAACGAGGCAAGCTTCGTGGCCCCCTTCTCGGCCCGAACTAAGCCTGACACTCATTTTCCCCTAACTCAGTCATTTAATGCAGTAGCTCAGACCGCCCCAGGGTTTTATGGGGACCACCCCAGGAGAAAGAAGGTTCCTGTGTTGACAGTCTTAAGGGTTTTTCTAGGGGTCCAGAATGCCACCCAGATGATGCAAAGATGGTGTGAAGGGCCAGAGGAGGCGAAACGGGAAATGTCTCTGCCATCAGACAACAGCCAGCGAAGCCACCAGTGGTCCGTATGGTGGGTGGATGGGAGACACAGCATTGAGTCTTAGACTCCTGCCAGCCCAAGTGAGTTGAGATCACAAGAGTTTGCTGCCTTTTGAACTTAGTGGCATATAAATGGTGTGTAAATGTCCCAGTCATGTCCAGCATTAGATTGATTTTTCTAGTTGATTTGAGAGAAAGGGAGAGGGATGGGAAGGGAGAGAGAAACATTGATTTGTTGATTCACTTATTTTTGCATCCATTGGTTGCCTCCTGCATGTGCCCTGACCGAGGATAGAATACACAGCCTTGGGAAGACACTCGAACCATCTGAGCTACCCGGCAAGGGCCAGAATTAGATATTTTATATGTCTTGCATAGGGGTAAAGTAAGTAAGGAGATTTAAAAAATATCAGTGTTATAGGGCAGCATGGTTTCATGGGTGGTCATGCATTTACTCAGTTGACACCAAGAATCTCCAGTGAGCTGGACACTAGGTAGGAGTCCTGGGCCAACCATGGCTCTGGGGCGGGGCTGGGTAGACTGGACTTATGGCTTCAATAAGTTCCCAGGCTGGTGGGGAGACAGACATAGGAACAGTGTGATAAAGGACCCGGGGGCGGGAGGTAGGTGGAGAAGGCGGCCACCAGCTGTGCTTTTTGTCTCATTTGAGCTAGTATTAATGGGCGAGAGGCATGGACCAGCAGAGAAGCTAGGTTAAGGTGTTGCAGGAGGCTGAAACAACTTGAGAAAAGGCAGTGCGGGAGCTTGGTTCGCTGGGGAAACAGGTTTGGAGCGAGGTGGGAAGGTGATGAGAAGATAAGCCACCAGGTTCTTGGTGCCACCTGAGGTGTCGGGCTGGGTCCTGCAGGCTGCCGGGAAACCTGAGAGAGATGCGATCAGATTGTGTGGTATAAATAGAATTCTAGAATGGGCTGGCGAGGTAAGCGCTGAGTCAGGGAGCCCAGTCAGGAAGCTCTCCCCGCGGTTCAGGATGGGAGAGGATGGGGGTCACTCAGTGAGTGCTGCCCCGGTGGAGGGTGGCCTTCAGAGGCAGAGCCAGCCGTCCAGGGGACCGATGAAGTGTGACAAAGAAGGAAGAGAAGAAACTCAAGGTTGTTTTCTGTTTGGGCAACTGGGCTTCCAGAAGGAAGGAATAGGATTGGGGTGAAGGTGGTAGGAGCCAAAGGGAAGGAGAAAGATGGTGTAGTTGGAAATGCCATCCGAGCCGGGACCGGTTTGGCTCAATGGATAGAGCGTCGGCTTGGGGACTGAAAGGTCCCGGGTTCGATTCCGGTCAAGGGCATGTACCTTGGTTGTGGGCATATCCCCGGTAGGGGGTGTGCAAGAAGCAGCTGATCGATGACTCTCTCTCATCGATGTTTCTAACTCTCTATCTCTCCCTTCCTCTCTGTACAAAATCAATAAAATATATTAAAAAAAAAAAAAAAAAAAAAGAAATGCCATCCGAGGTGCCAGACAGAGGCATCCTTTGGAATCCCGCTCCAGGTTTCAGGAGCGGGAGGCAGAGGTTCAGAAGACTTGGGTGTGGGTGAGAACACAGTCATTCACACAGGGGTGGGGGTGGGGGGAAGAGCACCTCCAAGGAGGAGGAGGATGGAAGAGGAGCAGCCAGGGAGCCGTGAGAGGGGCACCATGAGGCAGGCCCACCAGGGAGAGTTGTAGGGACAAGCAGCCCATGAGAGAGCTGAATAGTGTTCGCATTCAAACGTTTTAGTGTTTGGGCTTGGCACGCTGGATCTGCCCATATTTTTGTTACTCAAAAGCCTGGTTGTGATAAATGATATTCCTGGAGCAGTGCCAGAAGGCGCTGCAGCCCTTCCATTCCTCTGAGCGCCTGCATTGCCGGGTCCAGCCAGGCCATCAGAAAGCCGCGCGCTCAGGCTGCCCTGACGTGACCCTGTCAGAGTCTGTTTTACTGCATTGGAGCCCTTTGGTGTTTGCTCTGATGTCTGTTTCCGTGGAGGGACAGTCTCGCCAGAGGGTTTACTTGGTGGGAACTTTTGGGGTGCTTGTCCACGGGGTCACTCATTGTCTCCTACTCATAGGATGTCTCTGAGAAACATTTGTATCCCGAACAACCAAGTTTCTTTGATTTTATAGAAAATATAAACTGTGTAACTGCTGTTTTCTTCTCTGCCTTGGTTACTGGGGAGTTCAAAGCCAAATTTGCCATTGAAATTCAGTAAATGTTTAGCAGTTTAATAGCATGCCTTTTATACCCTAACTCTCCTTTTTTCTTCTATTACTCCTACCCTGATTCCTTAACCTATTTTAATAGTATTGTCTTGCTTATATTTTTTGTGAGCCTCTTTAAATCCTTTTTGGAACTAGGAGTTGTATAAAAAAGAGAAGGAAGCCATCCTGAATGTCCTTGCCAACTTATCTTCAAACAAGTAAGCCAGTCTCTTTACATTATTATTATTTTTACTTAAAAAAATATTAAAAAAAAAAATATATATATATATTATTGATTATTTTTTTCCCCCAGAGAGGAAGGGAGAGGGATAGAGAATTAGAAACACCGATGAGAGAAAAGCCTCCTGCACACTCCCTTCTGGGGATGTGCCCGCAACCAAGGTCCATGCCCTTGACTGGAACCGAACGTGGGACCCTTCAGTCTGCAAGCCGACACTCTATCCACTGAGCCAAACCGGTTAGGGCTATTATTATTTTTATATAGGAAGGCTTATTTAGAAAGTCACAGAGATAGAATAAGTGAGCTGTAGGAAAATGGGCTCAGGAACCTAGTTACAGGCAAAAGAAAGGGTCCTTGGAGCTTGGGAGAGAGAAGGATTAAAGGTAACTTCCCTCGGGGAAAGGGGAGGGGACAGGAAAGGCGCAGACGTGCTCCCAAGAGGGAGAGCACCCCATTATTTTTCTTATTGAAATTGTAGAAACAACCCAGAGAGATACCTGATCTCTTCATTGCCAGCTAATAACAACAGCTATTTTTTCTAGTACATTACCCTCAAGTTTCGGGATTTTCTGGGGGCACTGCCTTGTCTCTGTGCAGATGTTCACACAGATGCATCCTCCCTGGGGCCTCCAGGCAGAACACTGACCTGAGGCCATGTGGTGAGCACATTGCTGTGTGAACAGATGCTGCAGAGGCACATCCAGCAGCCATCGCTGAGCAGACTGCGGCTGGCATGTCCCGCGGCCTCGTTGAAGTCAGGGTCTTAGCAGGACAAAGGTTGGTGGGCGGATGCTCTGCTGGCAGAGACGTCATTACAACATGGAATCAGGACTTTGAAAGCTGAAGGAATCCTAGAGATCACGGAGGGATTATCGTCTGACAGATAATCCCCATGAAACCAAGACGAGGCCTGGTATCCAGGATAGGATGAATGGTTGGTTTTGTTTGTGAAAGAGAGTGGTTTCTTGAATCTCCAGGCTGGTGTTTATTATCCACTGAGTGGATTTGGAGTGCCACCTGGCTCCAGTGCCATATAGTGGGAAACCCTGAAACATGAAACACAATGACATGATTTTCCTGTGCAACTTGCATGTCAGCTTCATGGCATTTTTTTTTTATATATATCTTATTGATTTTTTTTACAGAGAGAAAGGGAGAGAGCTAGAAACGTCGATGAGAGAAACATCAACGAAACATCAACCAGCTGCCTCTTGCACACCCCCTACTGGGGATGTGCCTGCAACCAATGTACATGCCCTTGACCAGAATCGAACCTGGGACCTTTCAGTCCTCAGACCGATGCTCTACCACTGAGCCAAACTGGCTTCGGCTTCATGGCAGTTTTAAATGACCACAGCCTTCTCTCAACAGTGTAAAGATTGTATTTTTTTTTTTTAAAGATTGCTTAAAATTTATTCTTAGAGGGAGGGGAAGGAAGAGGGAGAGATAGAAAGAGAAACATCCATGTGAGAGCAAGACATTGATTGGCTGCCTCCTGCACACCCCATTGGGGATTGAACCCACAACCCCGAGCATGTGCCCTGACCGGGAATCAAACCAGCAACATTATGGTGCGGGGGACAATGCCTAACCAGCTGAGCCACACCAGCCAGGGCTCATGGCAGTTTTCCTAGGGGCATTTCAGTGAAGTTCTCACCAGTGGTTCCGTCCTGGGATTGGTAGAGACGGCGCCGATCGCAGAGGCCCCTTGTCCTCTGCACTAAGCGATGGAGTAGTCTGTTGTTTGGAATGACATAGTAATACCAGATCCCCAGCTAAGCCACAAAAACTCACCTAAACCACAGTGTACCTTTAAGTGGATTAAGTTCGGTCCTAACCCTCTAACCACCATGAGTCAACTGGAGACAGGAGCGCTGCTCCGAAGGTCCTGTGAATCAGCAGTTCCTGTGCTTTTTCATGCTTGCTGGCCAGGACAGTGACAGCTAATCAAGGTAATTGAGGACTAGCCATCCAAGTGTGCTGAATGCTCCCCTTGCATGATCTCATCTGATTCTTTTGTCTCCTCCGTGAGGTAGGCACTGTTTGTTGTTCCTCCCTTTTAGGCAACTTGCTTAACGGCGGGGCAGCTAGTGAGAGGAACCAAGACTGAATCCCAGTCCCTCTGCCTTAGATCCTGCACCCACCACTGGACTCCACTGCCACCACTCCTCCTGCTTGGCAGCCCAGGGAGACTGGGTCTCTCCGCTCCCTGGCCTGGGTTCAGGATTCTGGTGACATTAGGAATGGGGGGGAGGTCAGTTCTCCTGGGATAAAGGCCATCCACAGCCTTTCTGTTTCTCTTCTCTGTATTGTCTCCAGTACCAGAAATGGCTGGTCTGTTCCCTTCCTGTGCTGTCACCTGTTTATTGACTCCAACGGAACAGGGCTGCTGGTCCTGCTCCCACGCTCCTGTCCTGTCCTCAAAGCTAGCAGAAAGCCTTCCTCGGGCTTTCTAAGAGTTCCCACTATATATATATATGGTCCTGTAAATGCAAAGCATGGGCATAGATGCCAGTGACAGGTCTTTATGGGTTTTATGGAGCCTGGAGACCCAGAGTAACTTCGCCCCCCCACCCCCCCTTCTCATTACTTGGGAAAGGGGAGGGGCCTCAGTCATGTCTGCTACCCTCCATGGGGGGGTGGGCTGGTCCAGTCAGCAGCCCAATGAGAGGCAGAGGGACTTCAGGTCCATGGCCGCCTCTCCGGTGTGCTCTGCACCGCTGAGTTCAACGGGCACAAAACGACTGAAACACAGTCTCTGCTCTCGTGGAGGAAACGGGCAGAAAAGGGTAATTTCCCTTTCAGTGGGGTGTTAGCTAGAGGTGAGCACAGAGGAGGGGCCAGTAAGCCCAACGCTGAGGTGACTTGTGAGCTCAGTCTCCATGGGCAAGGAAGGGCCTGGCGAACAGAGCTGGGAACGGTGTGTCGGGCTGAGGGAACGGCATCAGTGAAACTTTCATGAGTGAGATGCAGGGGTGGTGTGTGAGGAGGGACCGCAGAGTTTGGCTGCCAGATCTGAACGCGTAGGGGAGTTCCGGGGACACGGTTGACCCTTTAAATGTCAGTCCATGGTGGAGTGTAGAGTGTGAGGTGGTGATGCGTCTGAAGCCGTTTATGGGTGTGTGGATGAGAAAGCAGTGGCAGGTGGCGGTCAGCGGCCGTACACGTTGGAATTCATTGTATACTAACCACATTCCGGGCACCTGTGCGGGGTACTTCAATGGGTTAACTTCCTTAGTTCTCACACGAGTCCTGTGAGGCAGATACTCCTGTTCTTCGATGAGGAAGGGGAGGTCCACAGAGATTATGTAACTTGTCTGGGGATCGCACGGCTAGTCAGTGATAGAACTGGAATTTGAAATATCTGAGTCTGGGTCCAGAACCTGCCTTAACCACTGCCCCCCGTAGTGCCTGTCTGAAGGCCGTGAAAGTGGTGGCATGGTCAAGTCTGCTTTTAAAATAGACTGTGCTGGCTGACAGCAGAGAGTGGCTATAAAGGGCACAGGAGGCTCCTGGGCCTGCCGGGGCCGTGTGCCAGCATTGTGAATATGCACTTACATCATCTCATTTAATCCTCCCAGCCCTCTGCAGGCTGGTATTATTAGCGTTTGGGGAAGCCGAAGGTCAGAGTGGTTGAATAACTTGCCCCAGATCACTCGGCCGGAAAGGAGCAGAGCGGGTTTGTGATTCCAGATCCCACGTCTTCTGCAGGCAGTCTTCGCCTCCCCTCCACCGAAACATCCCACAGACACAACACGGCACCCACAGAACCGCCAGCACACCGGGCGCCGCCTGTGGTTGGAGGTGTCACTTCCCCTGTGAGTTCCACCTTCGCAGCTTCTGTGGCGCTGGGTGTGTGTCAGGAGAGCTTTGCTCCCACGCCCTTCGAGTTCCTTCTTGGCGTACCTTCATCCCTCTCTCCCTCCCTCCATCCTGGGGACACACACAGCTTCTGTGTTGAGTCCCAGCTGCAGTCGGGGGCCCTTGGGGAGCGGGCCTGTCCGTCAGGCGGACCAGCCCATTTCGGCCCGAGCTCCCTCTCCTATGCATGTGGCTCTCAGTGGTACATCATAAACATAGTCCTCATATTTTCTTTCTGTGCTGGTCAGCGGGAGCCGGCCGGGGGTAGCAAGTCTTCCTTTAATTTCAACTGTGATGGATTATCACTTCCTTTAAAACGGTGTTTCATTTGTACCTTTGCCCGGAGGTTTTTAAACTATGGAGCTCTTTTGATTATTACTGGAAATCAATAGGTTGGCGTTAGGAAGCTCCATGGAGCCTGTAGCCCCATCCCCTCAATTTCTTCCTTAAACAACAACATCAACAACATGCCCCTTAACTATGTTATATTCCTTCCTACAAACCAACTCAAAGAAGCTTTAAAAATCTCCCCGTAAGAGGGAAGAGGGTAGTTATTTTCCCGCCCCTGACCGGCATCTGCTATCTTCCCTCTTGTTCGGTCTCTTCTCTCTCAGACACAAGGACCTTTCCTGATGCTGCTTCACCTTGCTTTTCGCTCATCCCCCCTCATCCCTTCTCGTTTGCCCTGGGCCAGTTGAACAAGATTCATGCCACAGCCCTACACGCCTCCTGTCCTTCCCTCTGGGGGCAGGAGCCGCTCCGGTGCTGTGCCTCCTGGGAGGCGCAGACAGCGCTGCGGCCTGGCTCCTGGCTCCCGGGCCTCTCCCAGCCGCAGGCAGCCCAGGCCATTGCCTGCAGGGCTGGCCTTTCTTGTCTTTTCCAGTTCAGAGCTGTGGAGCGCAGTGCATGTGTGTGCCTGGGCATGTGTTTGTATGGGACATACGTCCAACACAGGCCGTGTAAATGCCTGTTGCTCAGAAGGTAGGTTTGGATACGTTTTGCGATTCAGATTTAAAGCAGAGCAAAACCAGAACCCCCTGCCTACAAACTTTGTGTGTGTTTTTTTTTGTTTCCTGCAGAAGAGAAGTGAGAGCAGAAATAATTCTACTCTGGGGAAACACATAATTTAGAAGCCAGCTGCGCGTGTAAGAAAACAGACCCAGTGGCTGCTCTGTAAACCCAGACGGCGGCCGGGGCCCTTTGTTTCCTCTCCTCCCTCAGTGTTTGTCTAAGACTGAGGAGCCCGCGCTGTTTCCTCTCCGTCCCTCAGTGTTTGTCTACGACTGAGGAGGCCGCACTCTCCTCGCTCCCCCCGGGCGGCGAAGGCAGGGCCTCCGGAGCCGCCGGGCCCTGAGCAAGCCTCCTGCTCCTTCCCTCCTGTCTCTTCTGTTCCTTCCCTGAGAATACAGGACTCTTTCCTGGGAATCCTGTGCTGTCTGAGGGTGAGGAAGTGCCAGGGCGTTTCAGGAACCCAGGTGCCCGGCGACACTCCCAGGGGCTTTGGTGTGCCCAGGGGGAGGTGAATGGGACCTGGAGCCAAGGGCCGTGGGAATTCCTGCCCAGCACTGAGTCGTCAGTTCTCACCTCCATATTCTTCAAGTTACTTCTATAATGTTCCGTTTAACCAAGTTGCACAGCTTTCAAAAGAGACTGTGCAGAGGGGAGACTGGGCCCCAACAGGCCGGAATTCCTTCAGCAATTGGACATCTCATGGGTGTGGACCCTGCTTGGCTCCGGGTGCACAGGGACAGAGGGTGAGGGTAGTGCCCACTGCTGTCCTTCAGCCTCGGGCTGGCGGGTGGGACTGATGGCACAGGAAGGTGGAGTTCCAGGGATGCAGTGCCTTCCGTGGCTGCTGGGGTCTGGACGGAGGGCAGCCTCCCTGGGGTAGATGTGATTCCAGTGAGGCTTAGAGGAAAAAGAGCTGTGATTTGCAGACATTCTCTAGATAGCCAGATGGATTCCAGGCGTAATCCAGCCGGGAAGATTGGTTTTGTTGATCTTCCTCTCCCGTCTCTCTAAATAATTTTATCTTCAAAGCATGACACAGGTGGTAATTAACACACCGGCCCTCCTGGGAGGGAGGCAGGTGGGAACACCGCCCCCGGATAGTGAAGCCGGTGGACTAGGCAGGTCCAGAAGCCTCAGGCCGGTGAGCCTGAGCCAGCAGAGGGAGGCTGAGACCTTGGGGCCCTCTGACCTTGACTTGAACACACCCAAGGAGCCATCCCACAGTCTACAGGGTCCTTGGTTCCCAATAGAACAAAGGAGCTGAGGTTCCATAAAGAGATGGCACCGGGGGATGAGGAATGGGAAGCTTGAGGGCTGAGGAGGAATTCTGGTAACCTCCTCACTATCATTGGGAATCTTAGGTGCAGGAGTTTACTTCACTGGTTTCATTTATTCTCTTCAGAGTTGTTTTTTTGTTTGCTTGCTTGCTTGTTTTTAATATACTAAGCCCCTACGTCTGGGCGAGAGAGGGCAGAGGGAATAACTTCTCCCAGAAAAGCTGGCCAGCCACGAGGGACCTGGCTGGTCGGGAACTCGATCCTTTGTACCCCATGCGTTTAGTCCATTAGCACAGGGCGGTGTGGGGGGCGCTGTCTCCACAGGTGGGGGTTCACGTGTTGGAAACGGATGAGAAATCCAGATGTGGCTGCGGATGTGATGGCTCTCTGGAGGCCGAATGTCTCCTTTCCCTCCTGCCATTTGTCTTCGTCGCTCAGGATGGGGGGGCCCTTCGGAGCCCTCTCCCAGGGGCGACAGGGGGCACGTTTACGCCCTCCCTGTTGCAGGGCTCCCTGGGATGGGGATCCTGCCAGTTTGCTGTATGTCAGCGGAGGGACTGCTGAGAGCCCCGAACCTCCAGCTCGAGGGAAGCAGCAGTTCTGGGACCTCCGGTGGTTTCTTCTCCTTCCTGGGGCATCTTGCCACCGTGCAGGAAGCAGAAGGGGGGGGGTCATTTCATCCTATAAATGTTGCCCTCCTGGTGGCAAGTTGGACTCGACTCGCTTTGCAGGAAGCCCAGCTCCATCAGCTAACGGTATTCCCTGATCTTGGTACCGCAGGCTGCTGAGCACCGGCCCGAGACCTCTGCCTGAGGGTCCTTCCTCCGAAGACATCGCCAGCGTGTGGAGCCCGCCCCACACCCACCCCCCGCCACACCACGGCCTTTACCTGCGTCTTCCGGTGTTTCCCCTGCGACCCGTCCTGTGGGAGTGCCTCGTGGGCCGCCCCGGAGCTCACCCCTCGCTCAGCGGCGCCCATGGTGAAGATGACAAGGTCCAAGACCTTCCAGGCCTACCTGCCCTCCTGCCACCGGACCTACAGCTGCATTCACTGCAGAGCCCACCTGGCCAACCACGATGAACTCATTTCCAAGGTACACGTTCCCTGCAGGCCCGCCTGGCCTTCCCCGGGGAGGGCGCTTCCTGCCCCTGAAGGTGCCGAGGGCCACAAGCTCCCCGAGAGCCTGGGTATTGGTGCTGCGTCTTCAGTTCGGGGGCGGGTTGGGGGGGAGGGACACGCAGGGGGCGTGGGGGGGGTGGGAGTTGGGGAGGGGTTGACCCACATGGCTGTCTCATCTAGCTGAGAAATAACTGAGTTGGGGAGGGCGTGTGCTCGTTTGTTACTTTGGAGATTGGATGTCATCCCCGTTGGAGGCTGAGGGGAATGCTGGTTGGCAGGCCAGAGTGGGGAGAGGGGCTAAGGAGGGGTTGGAGTCCTTGGCTTGGCTTGCTTGGCGTAGGCTGGCAGACGAACACGGTCTAGAATGCTGCCTGCCTGGAAAGCGAGTTGGAAGAGAGTTGGCGGGGCCGGGATGTCTTGTAGCGGGTTCTTAGCTGAGACGAGTGAGGATACTGCCTTTCAAGGCCAGGAGAGACTGCTGACTTTGGGGAGGACCAGAGAGACTTGGTGAAGAGCTGACCATTAGGGCCTTTACATGGCATTTGGACCCAATCAGAAGAGGAAATGGAACCCTATTTTCCAGAGGAGCCTTGGCAACTGCTTTCTGAGGTTGGGGTAGGGATGAGGGGATTTGAAAAAATAAATAAACCCCACATCTCCGCTGTACAGTCTAGGAACTGGCTCCTTCGAGTAGCTCTCTCAGGGGAGTGCTTGCCTCCCGGCCCTGAATTCCCACGGGAGGAGAAACAGGTTTTACGAGGCTGCAGGAAAATCTTCTGAACCTGTGCTATGTCATTCAAGCAAAAAAAAAAAAAAAAAAAAAAAAAAAAGATAAAAAGAAACAAGCCTTTATGCAGACCCAGATTACGTTTAAAAAAAAAAAAAAATGCTAGAAAAGGTGGCATCATTCTCCCTGCCCTTGCCTGGGAGCCCCAGCCAGAGAGGGAAGAAGGAGCAACCATTCTACAGCCGTCGTGTCCAGCTGGCTGCCCCAGCAGGACCGGAGGAGGCTGCTGAACAGCCGTGTGTGGTGCAGGGGTTTATAAGCCAGGACCGGGGTTAGCGCCGCCGCCTAGGCCTATTCCAGAGTTTAGGGTCACCACCGAGCTTGAACCCTGGAGCCTTCCAAGTCCTGACACCTGGCCCACTTCCCTCCTCCGGGTTTCCTCCGGTTACTCCCCTTTCCGCTGCTCCTGCTTCAGCCAGCCTAGGGCTTCCTCCTCTGTCACCTAACTTGCGTTGCCTCAGGTGCCTTGGATCTTACGGGAACCCCTTGAGTGTGAAGTTTGGATGGGGGAGGCTGTGTCAGTGAGGGAAGACAGGACTCAGTCCTCTTTGCTTTGGGAGAGTGCCTGCAGGCTTGAAGGGAAAATGTGAGTTGTCCCGTTTCTGAAAACATCCAGAGAAAGTGGAAGCCAAGATGTGTTGTGTTTTGTTTTTTTTTAATACCAGGAAGAAGTGCTCTGTATCATAAGAAATTGAGGGACCAGTGAAATGCATTTTAGCGCCTTCTCTGTCCTAAAAACCTGCTACTTGACATTTTGTTATCCCACTTAACCTTCATAAGAAGCCTTTAAAGTAGGTGACATTACTCATATTTCATTTTTTAAAATATCTTCAGGCTTCTTTTTCCCCCTTTAAATGTGTGGTGTGTTTTTTTTTTTTTTTAATTTTTTAATTTTTTGAAAGAGAGAGAGGAAGGGGGAGGGAGAGAGAGATAGACACATCAATGAGAGAGAAACATTAACATTGATCGGCTGCTTCCTGCACTCTCCCTGCTAGGGATTGAGCCTACAACCCAGGCATGTGCCCCCATTGGAAATCCAACCAGAGACCTCTTGATGTATGGTTTGATCCTCAACCACTAAGCCACACCGGTTGGGCGATATTAGTCATATTGTATGTAGATGCAGAAGTTGAGAGTTATGTTGTCCAAGAACTCAAACTGGAGGCTCAAAGAAGAGGAGCAATTACTGTGAACATGTTTAAGGAGGATTTCTGGAAGAAGTGGGCCCCTGTAGGATGGGCGGAAGTGACTATGGGGAGATGGCAATGGCCTTCAAAGTCACTCTCATCTCTGGCCTGGAATACGGGTCCTGGATGATCTGGCAAAGCCAGCCTTTTGCGTTAGGGCTCCTGCCAGTTCCTTGCTTGCTGTTCCAACCACTTGGAACTAAGCAGCATTCCCTAAATATACAGACAGGATTTCAGGCCGCTGTGCCTCAGCCAAGGGCAGCCCTTTTTCCTCACCTTCCTCTCTCCCAGGAGCCCCTCCACAGTCTCTCCCACCTGGAGCCATTTCCTGCTAGCTTTGTATCGCTGGGTCAGAATCCCGCCCACGGCAAGAGCTCAATACGTGATCAAATGCATGCCTGGATGGAGCCCGAGCTTTGGGAGAGGACAAGTGACGAGCAAGAGAGTCTTTGTTGGCCTCCTGTCCTCTCTCCTGGGCCTTCGGGGGCAGAAAGGCTCATTCACAAATCCAGGCCAAAGTCAGCACAGGCTTCAGTTTCGTTGGCCACAACCGGTGCACAGATGGGGTGCATTAGAGCTTGATGATTTAAAGAGTTGGGTTAAATGCCTGGCTGGGGGTTAGGACTGAGGGAGCTGTGGCTGGCACCACACAAAGGTTCCTTTATTTCACTCCGCAGCCACCCCCGGCGTTAAGTAATCTATAGGTTCTTCTGCAGGTCTGCTTAACAGGAAGACCGTTGCCCCAACCCCCTCTTTGGAAAATGGGCCTTTCTTTTCATTTTGTTTCTTTCTCCCTTCCATCTAAGAAAGTTCAGGGAGAGAATGTGTCTCCTGTTCTCCCCCATCGAGGTAATCTATGTGGTTTCACGGTCAGCCCCGGGGGAGGGAGACGCTGGGAAGCAGATAACTGGAGCAGCCGTGTAATTAAACGATATGTTGTGCTTGTAATAGAGCCTTTGATCTGGAAGCTCGACATTCCATTGTTTGGTCTAAAAAAAGAAAAGATGACGACACAAAGGTCCTGAGAGCTGCAGCCCTGAGTGCTGGGCCAGCGGAGAACAGGGATGGAGCCAGGACTTCGGGCTCCCTTCCTGCCAGGGTGGCTAAGCCCACGGGGGAATGCGTCGTTGTCAGGATTAGAACGATTCGAGCATATTGGCACGCGGTGTAAAGAATCTTATCTTCCCAGCTTGCTCTAGATCCTCAGACGCCTGGACTCAACTGTCCAGCCTCTGACTCCCCGCTTCTCACTGCGCAGAGGTGATATTGGTCGTGTCTAATGCCTAGGAGCTAGCACTGTGCTCACTGTGTGTCCTCCCTAACAGTGCCGTGTGGTAGGTGTACCTTATTGTGTGTGAGGGGAGAGCAGGTTTACCTCATTGGGTTGCTATGAGGCTGGATGAGATCATAGATGTGTGGGTGGTTTGTAAATCAAAGAAAGCTCTATGCAAGTATAAAGTGGTTCCTCTGCTTCTCTTGGCCTTGCTGTCCAAAAAAAAAAAAAGGAAAGAAAAGACAAGGGAGTGGAGTGGAGGGGATTGTTCCTGCTGACTCCAAGCAGATTTCCACCAGCCAGGATAGTTTCACGTTAGTCCATGGAGCACAGGAGTTAGACACGGAGGAAAAGTCGACAGCCAAGATGCACGTGTCTGCAGGAAGGTAACAGCTTTCTCTCGGCGGGGCGGGCGATGGCCGGGGGTGGGTAGGTGAGTTGATGAGAGAGCTGTCTGAGGAATGTGCTGAGGCGCCGTCCTACAGCTGCTTTCTCGGGGGTGTTGTGCTCTGAATGTTTGCCTGCAGAGGTGTTGTAAGTTGGCATGAGGAATTGCTCACACTGTGGTTTCTTCCTTCATGGTGCAGGCCCCAGGATAAAGTTGTACCTGGGTTATAAATAATATGGTTTCCACTGGAACCGTTAGTTGCCCTGAGTTAAGAACCACCCAACTCTCATGTCCGTGGGGGCAGTTATGGGAACCTGGATCTTCACAAAGCTTTTCTCCGAAAACTTCCTCTGCCGTCGTCATTCCCTCCCCGCCCCTCTGCTAACCCTTCCATGGCTTCCTGGAGTAAGCCATCTGGGAAGAGCGAGTTGGGTTCATCTGTCACAATCCCACTCTAGGGACAGTGGCTTCATTTGGAGACACTGCTGCTTTAGTTGCTGCTCTCGGTCCTTGGAGGGAAGGTGTAGGCGGCTCTGGAGGGTGGGGGGTGGGGAGTCCAGGGAAGGTAACAGGAAGAAATCTTTTGCTCACTCTCAAACTATTTCTTACTCTGTCAAACCTGCAGGTCAGTTATCTTCTGGTGACAGATACAGAATTCCCAGAGTTTCAGGTCACGGAGCCCAGCCCCTCTTCATGAGGAAACAGGCCATGGGTCACTCAGTGACCAACTGAGGCTCCATAGGCTCAAAACCGGTTGTGTCCGGTCCACACCACTCGGCTGCACTCTCAGCTGCTTCCGTCTCAGATGGGGAGCTCCTAGGAGGCAGGTTTTTTTCCTTCCCTCTGGGGTTCCATCAGGCCGGCAGTGGTAGCGTTTGGGTTTTCCCTTCGTGCCTAGACACTAGGCAGAGTGTTTCTGTCATCACGCAGAGCAAGAGCTTTTGGAGGCTTGCGTGGACCTCACACTTGCAGAGAGGCCGCTCTACCTCAGTTTCCCAGCTCTGCTTTGGAGCCTCGTGCTTGATCCCTGTGGTTCTCAAAAAGACTTGCACCCCCAACACCATGGCTTAGAGGTAGTGGGCATGGAGGGGGTGTCAGTCTGGAATACAGGGATCCAACCCATTTTGTCTGTCTTGATAAGTTATTGTATTGTTCCTCAGTTCCCAGCCTCTACAAGCTTGTCTTTCACGTACAATAAGCAAACTCTCCAGAATATCAATGCCATTTTTTTATGTTCCGAAAATCTCATGTAAAAAAAAACCACACAGGAACAGAATTTGTAAAAATCTACTCATTTCATTTTCTCTAAGTACTCTGGAAAAGGGTAATAGTCGGCCTTGGATTGTACCAGTAATGTTAGTGACTTCTATGCCACATCAAGCGGAATAAGCCGTGAAGAACATACACAATAAATGTGTCACTTAAGGTAGTTCTTGCAAATTACATTTTGAATTCTAATTTTATCAATTAAGAGATTTTTGGTACCTAGTGGATATAAGCCAGTGATTTTTTTTTTTATTTTTTTTTACAAAAACCGTGATTCAGTAGAATTAGTATTTCTATCCTAGCAAGATGATTGTATGTAAACCTGTGAATGTTTACCTCAAAAAGGTGAACTCTGTGTTTCTGAAAGAGTGGGGCCCAGGCTTTCTCCAGAGTGACCGATGAGCTGTCAGCAACAAAAGGCTGAGAGCAGCCCCACAAATAAAGTGCCTTTGTTGCTTTTGCAGTGTTTGCACATCATTGTTGAATGTGTGTCAGTGTTTCCCAGAGAGCATTTCTGAGGTACGGCACAGGCAGGGGTGACAAATTATGGAAGAGTTCCAACATAAGCCAGTGAGCCCAGTTTCAAAACACAAGTCCATCAGTTTAGCTTCTGTAGAGAAAATCACATATGGAACCTAAATTACTTCTTTTCTGCAACTACTTGACCTTTGCAAGCCCCAGTCTCCTACCCGGGAAGCATTAGTTCTGGAAGAGTGCGAACAAGATGACCTGTTGACCACCCAGGAAGGAGTGACAGGTGAACCAAGTTTATACAGAAAATCTCCCAACAATGTTGGTGAAAAGAAACCATGGGGAGCTTATATCTCCTAGCATCTTCCCCCCTACAGACAGAGACTGAATCAAATTCAGGGTGAGCTCAGCCATAAATTAGCTGGGAGGTTTGTGTGGCGTCATTGTTTCAGGACAGGCGCTCAGAGGCCTCTGGTGTGCGTGGGTGATGGCAGCGGGGACTGTGCCCATACTTGCTCTTTTGTCTCATTGTCTCTGCTCTGTCACTGCAAAAATGCTAAAAGTGTTCTCTGTGTGTAGCACTGTCCTAGATAGCATGCTGCCACCCTTAAGGATTTTATCTTCAAGGAACTTGAAGTTGGGAGATAATAGGTTCCTAAGTCATCTCTTCTTGAAGTCTGTACTTCACCTTGTGTTTGTCTTAAAGAATTTGGTCTCAGGGTAACGATGCAGGTCTCCCATTAGCTTGCCAACTACTTGAGGAGATGCTTGTGATGCCATCTTTAGCACCCGACACAGCTCCTAAAGACTGGTATTTGTTCATCGGATATCTGAGTGAATGACTAATAGTACCCAGGATAGAGACAGGTCTTAATTTGGGGTCCCTGGACTGGCTTCCAGGGATCCCTGGAATTGTGTGTTTAATTCTGTGTGCATGTATCATTTTCTAGGGAGGTTTCCATGGCAATCACTAGGCTTTCAAAGGAGTTGTTGGTCAAAAATGAACTTTATGGGCCAGATATTGAGGGACTGTGATGGAAGAGGTAGGTTGAAGCCAGGTTGTTGAGTCCTACTGGCAGCTGGGTACCACTGAAGACTTTTGAGCAAGTAACTAAACGCCCAGAGCTTTGCTGTGAGAAGGGGAATGTGGTTGTGATGTGGTAGGGGAACTGCTAAAGAGACTGGAAGTGGAAAAAGCAGTGCATGTGCATTGCAGGGATCTGAAAATACCCCAGGCATGTGGTGATCATGCAGTACAGGCTTGTGCACCTCTGCTTGAGAGAGAAACGCTCACATTCTGTCCTCATGAACAAGAGGAATTGAATTCATGAAGTCACACGCTTTGGATGGAGGCAGACCTGTCCCACTGTGTTGCCCGTTCCCTGTGACAATGAACCTGGGCACAAGTAGAATTGCCCACTTTATATAATAATAACCAGTTTGTTATCCAAGGAGCTGCCAGGGACAGAGTCTGGAGCAAGCAGCAGGCGCACTCAAATCTGCTCGATTGGGACCCTTTCTCTGTGGTTGCTTTAAATACCAAAAGGAAATGTCAGCTGAGCTCTGAAAATGAACCCTGTGGTTTGCAAATGTCTGTAAGGATCCAGTCATAAGGTTGGTGGGTGCAGGAGTGTCTCAGCACTCGGCGAGGACGCTGGTGATGGCGAGCTTGTGTTCCCAGTTAAATCCAAGAAAATCCTCTTCTAAAATGGGAAGCGGTGAAGTGGGTGAGGGACACCTACCCTGTGTGTGAGCACCGATGCCGGTGTGGCTGCTCCTATGCTGGGGCCTGACCAGAACCCACTGTCATACACCACATGTTCGTTTCAATATTATTTATTCTTTGCATTAGAAACAACACTCCAGGCCCTCGCCTTGGTACTAGGCATAGGGAGAGGAAGCCAACAGTATTCCTGCACCTTTGGGTGCAGAGGAATGAAAGGCTCTCCGGGGAGGGCAGAAGGTCACTGATGAGGTTGTGTTGGTGACAGAAACAGCACAGGATGGAAAGTCTGCATTGCTGCTATTTACTATTTATTGAACATGTCCTGTGTGCTAAGGACTCCTTTAGATGTTTCCTTTACTTCATCACTTTACAACATCCTTTTGAGAGGGCAGGGCGGGGTGAGGATGAGCTCCTGACTCCACTGTGGGGCAGGGCGGAGTTATCCTCCATTCTGTAACTGGACTCAGCCCAATCAGGGTCAGCCAAGGCAGTGACGTCACCACCGACCGGAGTAAAACCCCTGGACTGGGCGAAATTCGCTCTCTTCCGCCATGCTGCCGGCGTGAGTGGGAGGAGCCCATGCTAGCATGGAAAAGGCTCTTTTGTTTATTGCATCGGACTCAGCTCCCAGGTGGTCCTTGGGGATCACGAAGTCTGGGTGTAACACTTTCAAAGTGGGCATTAGCTGACTTGCCTAAGCCCTTAGGTTTCCAAGAAGCTGTATGGGATATAGATCGAGGTACGTCTAGGCCCATTTAAGGACCCAGGTTATTTTCTGGTCTCGCTCAGTAACATTGGTGGTGAATTGTACCCTGTATTCCCTCCTTTCATGTTCCTTGCCTGAAGAATACTTTCTCTATATCCAGTTTCTACCCATCCTTTTTTCTTCTTTTCTTGCATCTACTCATGCATTTTTTAAAAATTGAAAAATTGAATATGTGGTAGAAAATTTTAAAATACAAAATACAATATGGTTATATAATATATAACCAGATACCCTTCAAGTCCACATTAGAGAATTCATCGTGTGGAAATTTAATTGAATGCTGAGGGAAAACCTATTTTGCTTTTAAGCACCTTTTGTGGCCATATGTACAACATATGTGATCATTTATATAAAAAGCTGGAAACTGCAAAACAAAGCACCAAATACCAGCCAAATACTAAAACGGTCACTTATGCAGGATATTCGCACAACGGAAATAAAATCAGGTTCATGAGGCTATGCTTTCTTTATTAACCACCTAGGAAAAGGTCAGACAACTATTCTTTTCCTGGTAAGAACACGATGCAAAATGCAAAAAACTGCAGTTTATCCAAGGCATTATATTAGGCCCGTGGTTGCCAAACTGCAGCTCAAGAGCCACATGCGGCTCTTTGGCCCCTTGAGTGTGGCTCTTCCACAAAATACCATGGCCTGGGCGAGTCTTATTTTGAAGAAGTTTAAGTTTAAAAAATTTGGCTCTCAAAAGAAATTTCAATTGTTGTACTATTTTTTATTTGGCTCTGTTGACTGAATTTGCCGACCATTATTTAGGCAATTACATTAAAAAGCTTGTAGAATGATATGCAAAACACCATTTTTATTGACTGTTAAGAAATAAAAGTGTCTTTTCTCAATGAGCATTTCCATCCAACGAATTTCATGCAGGGGGGACGGGGGAGATATGGTGTTCCTCAGCCCAGCCTGCACCCTCTTCAATCTGGGACCCCTTGAGGATGTCTGTGACTTAGGAGTATGCCTAAATGGGCAGTCGGACATCCCTCTCACAATCCAGGACTGCTGGCTCCCAACTGCTCACCTGCCTGCCTGCCTGATGGCCCCTACCTAACTGCTTCTGCCTGCCAGCCTGGTCAATTCTAACCACTCCCCTGCCAGCCTGATCAATTCCTAACTGCTCCCCTGTGGCCCGATTGCCCCTAACTGCCCTCCCCTGCCAGCCTGATTGCACCTAACTGTCCTCCCCTGCAGGCCTAGTCCCCCCCAACTGCCCTCTCCTGTAGGCCTGGTCCCCCCAACTGTCCTCCCCTGCTGGCTTGGTCATCCCTAACTGCCCTCTCCTGCTGTCCTAATTGCCCACAACTGCCCTCTCCTGCTGGCCATCTTGTGTTCATATGGGGACAGCCATCTTTGACCAGCTGGGGGTGGCCATCTTGTATTGGAGTGACAGTCAATTTGCATATTACTCTTTCATTACCCATTCTTGAAGAGCAACTTCAGTGTTTTCTAGGATGTCTTCCTGAGCTAAGTCTGTCTCCTTCCACTGAATGTCTATAAAACTCGCCGCTTGCTTGTTCGTTTAGCAATTAATAATGACGTCTTGTAATAAATAATATGGTCCGTGTGATTGTGGTCACATGCACTTTTTATGTATAATTGTCTTGTTTCCTAACAAGAGTCTAAATGACCTGGAGTCACAGACTCTCAGAACGTGAGAGCTGGAGGGACCTCGGAACCTGGGTTTTCTAGTTCAGCTCCTTGTACAGATCAAGAAAGCACTGAGTACCTCTTGACTTTGTACCTTGCCGCCTCCTCCCCGCTGCACCGCCTACTGCCTTGCACCTCACGGTTGCTCGTCATGCTGGAGGCAGCCCGGGGAGAGCGCTGGCAGCCGGGTGAATTAAAGTATCAAGCTCTATGATCTTGGACAAGGCTGGTCTCTCTGGCTCTCCTTTTTCTTCCTCCTTCCAAATGAGGCAACAGATGAAACTATCTTTAAAGGTTCCTTCCATAAGCCCCTGATTATCATTCAGCAGCAAAAGGTGATATGAAGCAACGTAAGTCCGGGTTAACAGGGTAAAGTCTGAGCCAGTTTAGACTCTGGCTTCTTTACTTAGCGGTTGTGCAAGTTAGTAACCTTGTCTTAACGCCCTATTAGGAAAATGGGAATACTTTTAATATCAGATGCCGGATAGAATTTTTGTGGAAATTAAACGAGGTAATCAGGTACATAAATGCTCAGCAAATGCTGCTAACTGTTGTTCTCTATGAATGTTTTTTTTTTTTTGTTTTTTTTTTTTTTAAGAAAATAACAAAGTGCCACTCAAACATAACCAGGTCCTGGCACCCGTAATTGTCCTTTTTGAGAGACTCAACTTTTGCCGGTAGCTATACAGCTGGTCTTCTGCAGCTTCTGATCCTTGTTCCTTACAATTCCAAAGGGACTGACAGGCCTCTGGAGGCAGTTCAATCACAGAAGCAGCAGCCTTCATCCTGCTTTCTGGGGCCTTGCCTGCAAGCACCTGCGAGGTCTCTCTAGCATTTTTAGTAGAAAATCTGTTCCCACTCCCTTCTCTCCTGTTCTGTCAGGTGGTTACTCTGCAGGATTACAGAGACCTACTGCGACAACAGCAGCCAGGCAGCTGGGAGAGAGGTCGGGGCCTGGGTGTCAGGGCCATAGCCAAGAATTGCTTGTCAGTTTGGTTAAGTCTGTGATGATGGTTCAGGTGTGTGTGGGAGGCGGGGAGGCCGAGCTTCTTTGGACAGAAGTCATTTTGCTTATCCTAAAAAAAAAAATAAAAAATAAAAAAATCTCTGATACCTTTGTTTCCAAAGCACTTAGCCTGCTCCCGAGGGAGGCGGGGTTTGACCTGGTGACCCAGAGCATTGTCTGCGCCAGCGGAGGAGCAGCGGAGGAGAGCTTCCCCACCCTCTGCCCATGGCTGGTGGCTGGGCAGTGACTCAGGGCAGGAGGGAGCTGAGGAGGAGACAGGCCGTGCACGACAAACAACATCTCCTCAGTCCACAAGCTCCTCCCGCCAGAGCACAGTGAAGTCAGGAAGCAGAGCGGGTGGCGCTGGCTCCCCTCCCCGTCACCCCCAAAACCTTTGGATCTTTCTTTAAAGGGGCAACTGATGGTTGTCAAAAGTTAAACGGGGTTTCCCTTTGGAGGCCCAGGAACTCTTTTCCTCCCTGTGAGGGCTGGTCCCACCACCAACACTCCCTGGAACTCCATCCAGCTCCCTAGCAGGTGAACGAGGGCACAGGAAAGCATTTCCTGACCAGAACAAAAGCTCCGAGTGACCCTCCTGCACCAAGCTCCCTCCTCATTCGGTCCACATTTAGGGAGCTCCTCCGGCAGGTGAAGCAGTGGTTACGCAGTGGCACACAGATGTATGCGTGCCTCGCCCTCAGCCAGCCTGAGCCCAGGACCCTTTGGTTACTGGGAAGCCAGTGTCTAAGGGAGTCGCTGGCCACCGCAGAGGTGGGGATCTCCACCCTGAGCCTGGTACCGCGATGTCTGGGGCCGCTGGGAAGCCAACATTTCCATGTTGTTTTCCATCCCATTTGCCTGATTTCCCTGCCCACATGTGTACCGTTTTTTCCCTCGGCTATCCCCGCCCCTCCCGTCATGCTGACCCGGGTTCAGTCCAGCCTCGTGGAAGGGCCAGCTGGGCCCCTGCCGCTCGGGGTGGCCGGTGACTGAGCCCAGCTGTTCCCTGGTGTGTGTTTGGAGGAACGTCTGGTTGCTGGACCAGGCCTCTCACCGTGGCTGGTGGCCCCATTTTTATTTCTGAAAGCTGCTGGACTTGCCCCTCAGCGGGCCCCTCCCCTTTCCACGCCACACGCTCAGCTCCGAGGAGCCCCTTACTGTTCGCCCCAGGCAAGTTCACTTGGAGAGCCTAAGGAAAGAGGAAGCAGAGAAACCAGACCTCCTGCCGTGGGCTCCATAAGCCACCTTATTTATTTTTTTTTACTCTCCTCTCAGCAGCAGAAGAAAAAAACAAACAAACGAAAAACAAAACAAAACAAAGTATATTTGTGGGGGAGGAGAGCTCCTCCCTGTCTGTCTCCGCCCTGGGCACTGAGGGGGCAGGTGCCGGGTAAATACAGAGGAAGGAAAGCCGATAAGATATGGTCTGACAAATCTAGGTCACCGGGCTGCTGCCGGCACCTGTGTGACTGGTCACCTTGAAACGGACCGGAGGGAGGAGGACGGACTTGGTTCAGGGCGCAGACTGCCCAGCTCCCCGTGCTGTGTGTGTTTATTCGGTAAGCATTTCCGGAGCACCATTACATTCGAGGCCACGTGTGTAAGTGTTTCAGGGCCTTCTGTGTCTCCATTAGGCAAAATCTCCTCCTGGATCCCAGGCCTGTAACTAGTGCTAAAAAAAAAAAAAAAAAAGACATCTGACATCGTGCAAAAGCCAGTCCACTGGCTCCCAGAGGGGGCAGCCGGTCTCTCGGCAGACGAAGGAGCTGTTTGAAGGCTCACTTCCCTGCTCCCTCAGCTAGATCAGGGTGGGCAGAACTTTTCTGTGCAGGCCAGACAGTAAATGTTTCAGACTTTGCTGGCCATGTGGACTCAGCCACTCAATTCTGCACCCATAGAATGCATCAACAAAGGCGTGTGGCTACATTCCAGCAGAACTTTATTTGCAAAACAGGGGAGAGACCCAGTTTGGCCCTTGTGTATTGTTTGCTGACTCCTCTGGCCAGAGACAGTCCCTCTGTGTCCTTGGTTTTTGTTTCCCTGTAGGAACAGATTTAAATAGAGTACAGAGAGCAGCAAGAATAAGTGAGAGTTTACCTGCAGAAAAGGAATACCTATGCTCAGATACAGTCGGAGCGGGCAGCTGAGCCAGCCAAAACCTAACCAAGGGCCCCTCACACAGTTGGGGGTTTGGGGAATTTATACCCCTAGGCTGGGGTGCCCCTAAATAAGTCTCCCCCTCCATTATTTCCCGAAAATAAAAATATAGCGTCAAGTTGTAAGGCTCCTTCACCCAGGTGTTATATCACTGGCTATTCCACGGCCTGGAGTGGCTCTGAATCTTCTCACTTCACGTTGGGGTCTGCTGCCTTTATAATCTTACTTTGGTTTGTCACACCTCACAGGTACCCCCTCCAAGCCCTAAGTGCCTTACCCAGCTCATGTCTTCCTTGCTGCCTGCTCTAATAGATGGTTGAAACACGTGTTGGAGAAATGGGTTTATGTGATTTCAGGAGGAATTCCAAACCAGCAGGTGGCTGGCTGCCTCTGGTGTGGACAGTGTCGGAGCTAGTGCACTGTGCTCATTGACAAGGTTGATTGATACTCCGGTGTCAGTTTAGCTGCACAGACAATTCCACTTCACAGGCCAAACTTCAGCCTCGGCCACATCGCACGCCCAGGTTCCCAGCCAGACATAGTTTCACACAATCTCAACAGTCCAATAGGAAGACAGTGAGGGGTGTTGCTGATGGGCAGTCAGTAGCATCATTTTATTTATTTTTATTTTTATTTTTTTTAAATATGTTTCATTGATTTTTTTAATTTTTTATTTATTTATTATTTATTTTTTTATTTTTTTACAGAGAGGAAAGGAGAGGGATATTGAGCTAGAAACATCGATGAGAGAAAATCATCGATCAGCTGCCTCTTGCACACCCCCTACTGGGGATGTGCCCGTAACCAAGGTACGTGCCCTTGACCAGAATCAAACCTGGGACCTTTCAGTCCACAGGCCGATGCTCTATCCACTGAGCCAAACCGGTTTTGGCAGTAGCATCATTTTAAAAGCCCTGCATGAAGGATCAAGCCGTCTCTACTCTCAGTCTGGCTCTGCTACTAACTATTCATTGTGGCATTGATAAGTCACTTCACCGCTCTGCCCAGTCAGCAGATACTGAGTACTGGATGAGGCATGGGGATACTGAAATGGATGCAAAATTCTTGCTTTAAGGAGCTTATGATCTACCAGGGAAGAGAAATAAGATGCAGCGAAACACAGGGTTTGAGTAGGTGATTGTTCCAGATTCTGGAGGGACAAAGAGGTGGGATGAATGTTTGTTTAGTGAACAAAAAAGGGGAGTCCTTCCGGAATAGAGTCAGAGAAACATTCTAGAGGAGATCCAGCCCAGGGCATCACAGGTAAGAGATGGAGGAGGCATGTGAGGGGGAATCAGGAGGTCAGCAGGGGTGGATCACGGGGCCTGGACGCCCAGTGAAGGAGGTTGGATTAATTCTGTGTGCTGTGGGAGCCCCTGAAAGGTTTTAAGCCAGGGAGTCCTAGCCTCTGATTCAGATTGGACTCAACAGTCTCTCCCGTTCCCATAAACCCTGTCGTCACAAGCTACAGGGTTTATAGAAATGTTGATATTGTATAAAGTTAATAAGCAAGAAAATTAAACCACTGGCTGTAATTAATAACCAGGCTCAGTCCCTTGCTGGTAGTGCCTTTAGGTAAACAGCAATCGGATAAATCATTGGCCAACACCAAGCACCCGTAGCTCTGAGAAGAGGAACTTTCAAAGTTCGCTGGGATCCCTGGCTTGCTGGGCCAGGTACTCCCTCTTGTGTGTGACCTTGTGGCTTCTCGAGGCTCCCTGAGTCGTCACAGGCTGGCAATGGCAACTCCACACTTGGGTGTTTTTCTGCTACTTTAAAGGGAGAACTGAGTGGCAGCATTCAGATGGCATTTGGTGTAGCTCTGAGGTTTAGGCCAGGGCAAAGGGAAGGGGGGGGGGGGGTTTGGCGGGAGTGTTAAGTGGCTCTGCAGTCTTCATAATTTAGGGCATTAGAAAAATAGGGTTTTCTGGGCAGTGATTTCCACATCTGACAGCACATCAGGGGAACCTGGGATGAAAAGGCTGGTCTCCGGGTCCCACCTGCAGAGATTCCTACGGTGTGGGTCTGAATGTGACTAGGGCAACAAGTCTCCTAGGACATAGCAATTAAGGAGGCATGCGTGCTTAGGGTTTGTACAAGTGCAGAGGATGTGCTTCAGAGGGAGGACCTCCTTAAACGTTGTGTTCTAGCTTTCTGGCTGGCCTCCCCCTCATCCCAGCCCTAGGAGGGAGTCTTCCTTCTCCCCCTGAGATTCTGATGCAACTAGTACTCATAGCGGGAGCCACAGCGCTCTAGGACAAAAGTTCTCATTTCTTGGGAAATAGCTACCCACGTTGTCCCCACCACCCGCGATCTACCGTCTAGCCCCATTCCACTGCCGAAGGCCCAAAGGGTGGTTATGACAAACATTTGCCCGAAAAAGGAACCAGCTCTTTGGAAGCATTCTCCTAATCCTGAAGACAACAGTCATCCTTTCACCGAGAGGGTACTGAGCGCCAGGCCCTGTCCCCGGGACTTTTGATGGGACTCACATCTTCTGTCCTATACCAGCCCGGAGAGAGAGGAGCCACTGCTGTTCCCATTCCCAGGTAACGAAAGGAACGCGTAGACAGATGGAGTTGACCCAAGGGCCTCGGCTAGGAAATGGCAGAACCAGAATTGGAATTGAGGCAGGACCCCGTCCGTGCCCCTGGAAGTACTCCAGGGCGAGGTTTATCTTTTTGCTCCACATTAGCAGCGGAGACCAGCTCAGCCTCCCCTCCTGGTGCCTGGCTCCGAAATCTCTAGGCACCAGCTCCCTGTTTCTGGGACCAAACACGGAGCCCCCGATGTCCTCTGCGTGTGTGTGTTTTTGTAAACAGACTCCCAGCCCCCAGAAAGGCGGGGGGGGAGGGGGGGGACGGAGACCCTCAGCAGGGGCAGGAGAGTTTACTCTTTCTTAAGCTCCTTACTGAAACCAGAAAGCAGAGGAACCCAGAGTCAGCAGGGCTCAGAGCCCTAATTAATTGCGGTCCAACTGGGTCAGGGGGAGTGACCCTGCGCAGCGGCCTTTTTTTTTTTTTTTTTCCTTCCTTCTTCAGGGACACGTGTGCCCAGCTACTAGAGCAGAGTTCCACGCACAGAGGGGAGCCATTCCAGATCCCCCCTCCCGGGGGTGGGGTTATCTCTCCCGTGAAGCACGTCTGCCTCTCAGTCCCTTCCTCCCCGGCTCTCTGGCTGGGCTCCTGCCGGTGTTAAGTTGCCCCAAATACCCAGTCTCTTATTTCACATCCTCAGGCTCGGATCCCACAGCCAAGGTGCCCTTTCAGCTTAGCTTTCCCATCGGCTGCTCGGCTGCTCGCTGACAGATAAGCTCCTAAGAGGAGCGAAGAGGGAGGGTGCAGGGAAAACCGGAGCCCACCCTTTTGTCCCTTTGTCATGGGGCTCCGTGGGTCCTCCCCCACACACACACCCCTCCCCCTCCCCAGTGTTGTGCGTGATGGGGTGGCAGCCAGCAGCCTCATTGGCAGCTGGGACTTGACTTGGCCAAGCCCCAATGGCACATACGCTTGGGCTTTACCTTAGGGTGGAAATTGGAGGCCGAGAGTTTGCTAAGTGTCAGGAGACCAGGAAACTCTGTTTTGTGTGTGGGCTGGGAGAACGCAGGGCCGGAGCCAGGCTCTGTTTCTGTGTGTGCTGCCAGACTCCCAGTCCAGGCCTCGCGGAGATGGCTCACTCCCTGGGCCGGGTGGACGGAGACACGGGCGCTGCTGGGAATCCGGAGCGAGAAGGAGCCAGTGGACAGAATGTTCTTGCGCCTGATGGACCGGCCACCGCACCGGCTGGGCTCCTGCGGGTAGAGGCGAACCCTTGCTCGTTTAGTCAGTCCGTATCTTGAGTAACGACGGACTGCCGGATGAACTGGTTCTAAAGTACCTTTCCGAGGCGATCTAAGCGGTTAAAATAAAAACGGGAGCGACCAGGAAGTTTGCACAGTCGGGTCCATTGGTCTTACTGCTCTGGGGGGCAAACCTGTATCCGGGGCTTAACCTCCCACCTCTTCTCCTCTCTTGCCACGCGCCACCCAAGCAAGTGCCCGGGCCCTGGTTCTAGGGATGATGATGTGGAGTTCGTTGGTATTCCAAACGGGCTCAGCTCATTTCCCCAAGAAGAGGTCCCCGGCCATGGCCTCCAAAGATGACCTTGTGGGCAGTGCCCAAGTAACAGACCCCAAGAATTGGGCCTCTGTGGATAGGTTGGTGCCCAGAATATATCGAAAACGATATCCAGAATGCCCAGAGACTATTTAAAACGTGTATAAGAAAGGTAGCAAGTGAATGTTTGCCTTGGAATAAGGCTGGCCTCCCGTTCTCCCAGGAGCCCTCGCCTAGGGAAGATGATTAAAAATAGATCTGAGTAGCACTTCCTGCTTGGCAGATGGCTGATAGCAAACACTGGGGCTTGCAGCTGACCTTTCCCTTCTGAAATCTGCTCTGTTTCCATGATGCTAATTGAGTCCCTCTCTAGACCTAATCAAAGAGCTGGCTGCAAACACACACACACACACACACACAAAAAAAAAAAAAAACCAAAAAGCCAGTACACACGCAAACCACACTTGCTGTCCTGGCTGGGCTCACTTCGTGGAGCAACTTGAAAGTGCTGGAATTTGCATGGAAACACCCACTCCGTGTTCCAACTGGCTGGTCCTTGTTTGAAAAGGAACAAGTTCTGCTTTCAAATTTGCTGTCCGGGGCTGTGGAGGGTCCCACCCCCTCTCCGCCCCCGTCCATAAGGAACGGCGAGTGGAGGGGGAGTGATAAGAGCGCCCAGTGTTTGGACCCATGCACAATAGACAATGCCCACACTCACTTCAGAGCAGAGTAGGTGTCCGAAAGAGGGGCTTCTAGGGGGGGCTCCATCCTCACTTACAAAGCACAGTATCAAACTATGGGAGATACAAGGCATCTGTTGTTTTATTATTATACTAGTGGCCCAGTGCACGGATTCGTGCACATTGAAAGGAAATTAATTAGAAGAAAGATTCATGTGGTAATTACATTATTGCAAAAAAAAAAAAGTGCATGTGCCCAAACTGGTTTGGCTCAGTGGTAGAGCGTCGGTCTGCGGACTGAAAGGTCTCGGGTTCAATTCCGGTCAAGGGCATGTACCTTGGTTGCGGGCACATCCCCGGTAGGGGATGTGCAGGAGGCAGCTGGTTGATATTTCTCTCACATTGACGTTTCTAGCTCTCTATCTCTATCCCTTCCTCTCTGTAAAATATCAATAAAATATATATTTTTTAAAAAAAATACCTGTCAAAATAGTATATATAATATAGTATTATAAAGTTAAAACACACCTACAATTGGTGCCAGTGAGAACTTTATTGTATCAATGCATGTGTAAGTCAATGTTTATTTTTATTTTTAAAAAATATATATTTTATTGGGTTTTTTTTTTACAGAGAGGAAGAGAGAGGGGTAGAGAGTTAGAAACATCGATGAGAGAGAATCATCGATCAGCTGCCTCCTGCACACCCCCCCACTGGGGATGTGCCCACAACCAAGGTACATGCCCTTGACTGGAATCAAACCTGGGTCCTGTCAGTCCGCAGGCCGACACTCTATCCACTGAGCCAAACTGATTTTAGCAGTCAGTGTTTATTTTTAAATTGCCAGTGTGCGTTATACATACCAGCTGTTCAGATGGTCACTCACCTATCCTTTCATATATAGAAATGTAGCAAACATCTAGGGACCAGTGCTGGCTTTTCGTTGAGTTATTCTCCTCCCCAGGAAAGAGATGAGGGTATATACACAGGCTGCCCTGACTCCTCAAGGGTCTCCAACCTACTTCCTTTCCAGGGACAGTCCTTGTGCACCTAGAGTGCTCCCATCTTCTCCGGTCCCATCCATGTTCTCCGAATCCTCTTAACATCCATAATGTATTACAGGGATCTCTAGGTGGGTCTGTACACATTTTATAGATTGTAGTCCCATTGGCTAGATTGTAAGCACCTTCAGGGCAGAGCTGACTGGCTGTATTCTCACGGTGCCCAGCAACATCTGACACAGCTGCTCATTAAATATTTGCTGACATATAATTATAGAGGCACCATACTCCTTCCAACGACTGCATCACAAGATTCTGAGCCATACCCTTATCCTTGGAAATCAGGTTCTCCCTCCCCAACTGACTGCTTGAATGTGACACAACCCTGTTTTCTGAGGCCTGATACTTTACAATGGATCTGAGACTTGCATGTTGACCGGGGAGGAGGTTGAGTGCCAGAAGATGTGAAGGGGATTTTAGTGCATGTCTTGGAGGATGAGAGTCGCATGGTGAAATGATCAGATAAAATAGATCAGCTGGTGTTTTATGCAGATAAACAGGAAGTTTTAAAAACACCAGGGAAGAGGTCTAACTCTGAGTCAGAAATGTTTGTTTAATGTGTGAGGCGTTTTCTCTGGGGAATATGGACTCACAAAATGTTCACCCTTCTAAGAGACCTTACTCAACCCCCTCACTTCACAGATGACACAACTCCCAGCTCAGAGGAGCAGGGATCTGTCCAAGGACAGCCTGCTAGTAGGAGGCAGATGACCCGGCCATGCCTGACAGGGCTGGGAGTGCGTGGCCAGCTATTCCTACCCAGTCACATTATGCTTCCAGAGGGAACACCAGTAGTCACCAGTGCTCAGCTTTTGCACTTTGGCAAAAATATTTCTAATTTTATATGTGTTCCTGTTTCTTTCTTAAGAGCTCTTTGGCTGTGATTTCTTCAAGCCATAACAACAATCCTTACCACTGTGGCCCTTTTAAGTAACTTTGGCTCTTCCTTTATAACTTGACTCCTAAACTCAGTCCCTTGGGGTATATGAGTCCAGAGTTCAAATGTAGGTCTTTGCTAATACGGCTCACCAGAGGAAACCTACTGCTGGACCATTGTCACAGTGCGAACACACATTGATAAACCTACTTAGTCTAAATGCAGCCTCAAATCCAGTCATTTCATTAAATAAGGCCTTGTGCTTTGCTTAGCATTTCCAGGAGAAGGAAGTGTGGAAAGTATTTAGGATGAAATGAAACGTCAGGTTCAGAAGAAAGTGGTAAACTCGGTGAGGGTAAAGCCTGGCATACAGGGGAAATTTGAAGGAACTTGTAGAGGAAAGGTTTATTGAGGGCCTGTTAGATGCCAGGCATTTTACTTTCTGTGAGGTGGGCATTTGTGGGGACCCCTTTCACGTCCCGCATGGTTCAGGGATCCAGTTCAGGGGTCAGGTTCTGGAGAAGGGCTGCACACAAATGGAAGAGACTAGAAGAAATTTAATTTGGCCATATGGGGGGCCAGGCAGGAGCCCACCTCTAGTGGGAGGACTGCCACTAGGCTCTGGCCTTGCTATCCCTTTTATTGAGACTATGGCTATGCAAGTTTAGGATACACCCATAGCCCTTAGGCAGGTAATAAGCAGATTATCATATCAGTAAGGATTTACATGATTATTTGATGGGGAAATTGCCTCAGTTACCATTGTCTCAATTACCATTGTCTCAAATTAGATTTGGCTTTGACCTTTCAGATCTTTCTACTAGTGAGACAATGATTAGTTCCCGGAAGGCATTGTTATCCCATTTGGTAGGTGAGGAATTTGTGACCAGAAAGGTGACCATACCCAATCGCATACCCTACAGAGTGTGCCAGAACTAGGAATTTATTCTGGTTCATCCAACTGCTTAATTCTCTCATTATTCCAAGGCACTAAACTGGGACAAGTTGAGCCCATAGAAGGAACCCTTGATGTGGGCAAGAGAATGGCATTAAAGCTGTAACTTGAAGTGCTGTTTGGTACCAAAGAATGTAAAGAGGATTGGGGAAGCTCTCAGGAGTTCATTTAGCTCAAAGAAGTAATCTTGGTACTGTCAGAGCGACTGGTAGTGGGTTTCCTGTCTCTGGAAGTATTTAAGCAGAGGTTTGGCGGAAATGTGGACAAGGTGCATCAGGTGAGTGGTTGGCCTTTGGAGCTTCTTCTTCTTCTTCTTCTTTTTTTTTTAATATATTTTATTGATTTTGTACAGAGAGGAAGAGAGAAGGATAGAGAGTTAGAAACATCGATGAGAGAATCATCGATCAGCTGCCTCCTACACACCTCCCACTGGGGATGTGCCCGCAACCAAGGTACATGCCCTTGACCGGAATCGAACCTGGGACTTTACAGTCCGCAGGCCGACGCTCTATCCACTGAGCCAAACCGGGCTTGGCCCTTTGGAGCATCTTCACGTCTCAATAGTCTATGGAATTAAAACTAGATCAAGTCATATGCATATCTAGGTTGGTTTTGAGACCCTCCACTGCATGACATTCCTACAGACTGCAATTAAATATTTCTCTTTTACCAACTCTCCAAAGTAGGGGTGTCGAACTCAATCAGAGAAGGGGCCAAAATCTAAAATCCAGCCTAAATCACGGGCCGAATGGTTTACTGAACAGTCATAAACTGTCATTGTGATGGAAACGCAGCGGAGTGCAGTGATGACAGCGTGGTGCGGGCCACATTGCAAGGCCTGGCGGGACGGATTTGGCCCGCGGGCCTTGTGTTTGACACATGTGCTCCAAAGCATTCTTCTGGGTTCTCTGCTCAGTCTTGGCCATGAAGATCAGGGACTTTAAGGGGCTTCTTGGCATTCAATTATTTTTTTCCAGTTGTTGTCAAATAGGGATCATTCATTCAGTAATAAGCTGGGAAGGCTGTTTTCAGGCTGGGATGCAGAGTCTTACACGTGGAAGGTGTACACATTTAATTGTATCCATTCATTCAAGGTGACCAAGCTCTGGTGGAGTGAATTCTAATTTATTAGCTTACGGTAGAACAGATAATCCTGAAAACTTGAACTGTGTGTTACCTTCCTGGAAGGTGACCCACTTGAGCAAGAGGATTCCATTTAGTCAGTCAGCTGCTGGGTCAATATGGCCTCAGAGCAGAGCGGAGGAAACGGAATAGTCTAAGAGGTTTTCATCAGTTTTGACAGCTTGATCCATCCTCCTCCTTCAAGAAGATGGCTTTTCCAAGTGGACATGCTCTTGAAAAAATCTGAGGCTTGGAGGCAGAAGCCATAATTTAAGTTCTGACCTTGACTTTCAAGCTTTGTAAAGCTGAGTAACTCACTTGAGCTGCCCGTGGCTTCAGTTTCTGCCTGTTGTTTTGGAGGTTGATTCTGTTCATGTATGTGGGAGTGTTCTGCGTGTTCTGATGTCTTACACATGTGTCAGAATGAGTCTAACTTTGTTAGGTTCCCCTCTTTGAGGAAGTCGCTTGGACAACACCCTTGTCATCCCAACTTCACTCTCCCCTGGACCTCGGAGGCAGACCACCTAGGTCTCTATCATGAATTGGTTTTTTGACCCTGGGCATGTGTCTTAACTTCCCTCTCTGCCTCACTTTCAGGCGTCTTCAAACTACGGCCCGCGGGCCACATGCGGCCCGCAGAGGAGTCTGATCCGGCCCGCCAGGTTTTTTGGGCAGTGAGCGCAGCCGAGGTGTTACAGTAGGAATTAGTAGTTCATATAGTCCGGCCCTCCAGCTCTCTGAGGGACCGTGATCTGGCCCCCACTTTAAAAAGTTTGAGGACACCTGCTTAGGTCATTAGATTGTTGAGAGGATTAAATGGCTTATGTAAAACTATTTGGATCCTGCAGGGCATATGATAAACACTATGCAAATCTGAGTCATTATTGTTATTTCACAACTTAACGAGCCACCTCAGTTTCGTCTATAAACTCTCTTCCAATGTCACTACAAGACGTGCTTGTTAGAAAATAATTAAAAAAGAAATTTCCTCCGTACCTTCAGTCTTGGAGATGAGGCTTTTCTGGCCTTTTTGCCTGGATCCGTTGCAGAGCAAGATGTACCTAGAGAGTCTGTCAGTCTTCACAGACGGCCTTCGTGGTGTAAAGAAACGTTCATTCCCCAGTGTCCAATTGGCTTTGGAAACACAAGCGTAGATTGAAACATAAATCTAAGAAATTGTTATTTGTCCTTCCTAGGTATGCAAATGAATAGTGAATTGTTTTCAAAGGCCTTGTGGTTTTGAGAGAAATTTGAGCACCACTGTTTCAGCTTTACTAGTAGCTTTGTGTTTGAGTTGAACTGCAGAGGGCCTGGTGATTAATGCCTTGTTGCCATTACATCCTGATTCCACCATCTCTACCCCGGACTGGCCAAGTGAGGGTGACAGGTCTGGCTTTGTGTAGAGGCTGGTGCTTGCACGACGAAGGGACTGCCCTGCTCTTGATCCTTCTGGAGAAAGCGCGCTTCTCATACCTTCTCTGTGGAAAGCACGGAGGGAAAGAATGCAGGATACTGAGAGCTGGTAGCATCTGTTTTCCCACTGGCTGAGTGTTTACATTGGCATCCGCTGTCCTAACCGTTTGCCACAGACTAGAGAGCCTTGGTTCTTCAGAGAACAACCACTGGGCCCCAGGCCACATCTGAGGCCCTAGGACAGCTGGGGAGGTGTGGGAGAGGAGCTGTGGAGGCCTGTGGCTGGAGAGGGGTTTAGGAGAGCAGCTGGAGATGCTCTGGGAAGACAGCTCCCATTTTATTTTATTTTAAAATATATATATTTAGTTGTTTTGTTTGTGTGTGTGTGTTTTTTTATAGAGAGGAAGGTAGAAGGATAGAGAGTTAGAAACATCGATGAGAGAGAAACATCGATAAGCTGCCTCCTGCACATGCCCTACTGGGGATGTGCCCACAACCAAGGTACATGCCCTTGACCGGAATCGAACCTGGGACCTTTCAGTCCTCAGGCTGACGCTCTATCCACTGAGCCAAACTGGTTTTGGCTACAGCTCCCATTTTAAATCCCACAAGCCTGGGTTTGTGTGAAAGGAAACAGAATTTATAAATATTTTTTTTATGGGCCAGGTACTGTGCATTCATTTTTACACTCACAATAATATCCCTTTGGAACTGTCATTCTCTCCTCCCTTTTGGAGGTGGGACTTTGAGGCCCAGAAGTGGAAGTGTCTTGCCGAGGGTTACACAACGAGAAAGGGCTGGGTCCAAGGCCTCCCCAGCTCCAAAGCCTGCCTCTTTCCCACTGCACTTCGGGCAGGCATGACACATGAGGGAGCCCAGCTTGCAGGGTCTTCTCTGGTCCATGGCTTTATTCTAGATCCTTCCCTGAAAGCAACTCTTTTTGCCTGGGTCAACAGGAAGGCGGATTTGAAAGGTCTGGTCATTCGGCAGATCCCAGAATTTCCGCCTTTCCCCAGTAAAATGGGACACCTCACCACCTTTTGTTTTTTGGCTTTTGGTGCTGTTTCTTGTCACTGGTATGCTCCTATGCCCTTGGAATTCTATGACTCCGCACTGCAGATATTTCCTCCTTTCCAGCCAGTCCCTTCCCTGCCCCTCCCCTCCATCTGCTTGGGGAATGTGAGGTTGCCTTGAGACCTACCAAAGCTCAAGGCCAAGAAGGAGGGCTGTAGGAGACCAGGCTTCTACCCCTAGGCAGCACACATGGCCTTTTCCCCCATTCCACGTTTCTAGACAAATATGGAAATGCCTTCTGTAGACCATAAACACGTACAAATGGCTCTGTCCTTCCCTAGTCTTTCCTGGCGATCTGTGTCCCAGTTGTGGAAGTCCTCGAGTCGGGAAATTCTCCCTTATAATTAGCCCGGGTCTCATTTCCATTTAAGTCCATTTCCTCTTCTTACTGCAGAGAAGATGGAAGAAATCCCCTTTAATCTTTTCCCTCTGGGCTAAATGTTCCCAGTTTCTTTTTATAAGTTGCATTTGAGTTCTAATTCTGGAAAATTTCATAATTTTCATTGTTCTTTATTATCATCCTTTACACTTTCTCCATATGCTTCCTCGGGGTGAAATCCAAACAGGATCCGATATTATTTTGCTTGGGTTTCAGGTTTTTGGAATGAAGCCTGTGGCTTACATTGACCCTAAATAGGAAACTCCACCAGGTCTTAACTATGGATGAAGGAAAGAACGAGAAAGGGAAAAAAGGGGCCTGGGCCTCCCAGTCTAGTGCCAGTTCTGTTGAAGTGGAGGTGTTTAGCTGACCCCAAGAGGGGAGGTTTTACCAACTTGTTTGTATCTCTACCTAACACTTAGGCCACTTTCCACTGAGATGATGGTATGGAGTATAGTGTATAGTTCCTTGAGCAAACCCATAGAGACAGAAAATAGATTTGTGGTAGACTGGGGTGAAGGGCAAGGGAATTGGAAGGTGACTAGTAATGATGTGAGATTTCTTTTAGGAGGTGCAAATTGGATGGTGACGGTTGCACCACCTTGTGACTATACT